TATCTAAGATGACTCTAATCTTATTGGCCACTGGAGCTACACCAACATTTTTATGGATACATTCGTTTCACATTTTGTCTAAGTTTCAAGCCACTCATCCACCTAAGCATTCTCATATGAACAAGACTTAACTTAGTTTTACGTTTCTCTTTTATAGGCCAACCTCCTGCACCATAAATCATTGCATGTCTCACCACCATCTTATAAAATTTTTCTTTTTGTCTAAGCGGGACTTTTCTGTCACACAATAATCCCGATGCATTCCTCCACTTCAAACATCCAACTTGAATCTACTAATAACTTCCTCATCTATATCACCATTACTTTGAACAATAGACCTAGATATCTAAAACGTTCACTTCTTTTAATGATTTAATCACCAATAATTATAACTTTGCCACTAAATATATTTCCGCTAAAATTACATTTCATACATTCAGTTTTAGATCTATTCAAACGAAGTCCTTTAGACTCTAATGTAGACCTCCATAATTCAAGTTTTTCTTGACCTATTTCTCTAGTCTTACCCACAAGAAGGATATCATCGATGAAAAACATACACCAGGGCACATCCTTTTGTAAATTTCTAGTAAGCATCCATAACTAAAGCAAAAAAATATGAGCTTAAAGCCGATCCCTGATGTAATCCAACTGAAATAGGAAAATATTTGGTCAATCCTCCTCCTTGAACGCAAGTAAAAGCTATAGTATACACATCTTTAATGACTTGAATATAAGTCATATAAACATCTTCTTTTCTAGAATTCTCCATAGAACTTCTCTTGGAACCTTATCGTAATTTTTTTCTAAATCAATAAAAATCATATGTATAACCTCCTTACTCTCCTTGTACTCCATCAAACCTTTCAATAAATGTATAGCTTCTATGGTTGCTCGGCATCAACCCAAACTGATTATGAGAAATCTTTGTATCTCATCTTAACCTATGTTCAATTACTCTCTCATAATTTTAATAAATGACAGATTAACTGAAGTTCTATATAATTTGTGCACTCTTGTGCATCATCTTTATTCTTAAAATTGGTGACCAAAATAATCTTCCTTTGGTGACCAAAATAATCTTCCTCCACTCCCCAATCATTTTTTTAGTTTTTAAAATAATATTAAAAAATTCAATAAGCCAAAAAACTCCCAAATATCCTAAATATTTTCACACTTATATTGAGATATATACTATCAGGTCCTCCAACTGAAATAGGAAAGTATTTGGTCAATCCTCCTCCTTGAACGACACAAGTAACATCTCTAGTATGCTTATCTTTAATGACTTCAAAAGAAACATTTTTGAATGAGCTAGAAGAAATAATACAAATGATACCTTTTTGAAGAAAAAATTTTTTTATTGAAGGAGATTTAAACGGTCATGATGGTAGTGGTAGAAAATTTTTGAAATATTCATAGTGGCTACAATTTGAGTGATTAGTGAAGAGGATAGAATCATATTAGATTTTATTTTAGCTAATTATCTTATTATTGTTAATACTTTATTTAAGAAAATAGGTGAACATATTATTACTTATAAGAATGGATCTAATAAAACACATTATGATTGTTTTCTTATGATAAAAATAAATGGCTGAGAATGTAAAGATTGTAAGGTCACTTCAAGTGAAAACTTAAATACTCAACATCAATTTTTAATTAATTTTTTGCTTTTATTTTACCTTTGTTTGGCTAGTTTATGCATTTATCTTTTACTCTCTTTAATATTTAATTTATTATAAAGATCACTAAAAGTAATATTCTTAGCATCACAAATTATTCTCTTAGACTCTCTACATATCACCTTATATTTTTTTTCAGTTCTCTAAGTTTTTACATCTATACTAATGTTTATAATAAATTTTTTTATATTTTATCTTTTCTTGCATAGTATTATTCCACCACAAACTATTTTTATTTATATAACTTTTTCATTTTATTCTCCAAGTGCATCTTTTATCACTTGTATAATAGCGCTTGTTACTTCATCTCACATATAATTAGTTTCATCATGATCATCCCAAATCTTGAAATCGTATAGTTTATTCATAAAAATAATTTTAATTGTATCTTTTAGGTGTACTCATCTAATTTTATGATAATGTTTAATTATATTTTTTTCTTCCAACTCGTCTTAAAATTTAGAACTAATAATCGGTGTCGAATACTTAAATTTTCACTTGGAGTAACTTCATAATATTTATATTCTTGATGATCTATTTCTCTCATAGGACAATTATCAATTTGTGTTTTATTAGACCCATTCTTATAGGTAATAAGATGCTCACCTCTTTTTCTAAATAAAGTATTAACTATAATAAAACCATAAGCTAAAGCAAAATCATTTTAAAACAGTAGCCATCATGAATATTTTTAAAATCTTCTTCAACTCTACTAATATGTTCATTTAAATCTTTTCCAATAAAAATTCTTTCTTCATGAGGTATCATTTGTATTAATTATTACAAGTCATTTCAAAATTTTGCTTTTGAGCATATATCTAAGCCTACTTGAGGAGCATAAACACTTGTAATATTAGAAATCTTAGTATTAACAATAATCTTTATGACTATAATTTTATCTTCAATTTTATTAATTTTACAATATTATCTTTTAAATTCTTATCTATAGTTAAATCTACACCATTTCTAATAGAGCTCCCACATGAATATCAAAATTTAGAACATGAGCTATCAATCTCTTTAGTGTTTTCTCCGACCCATTTAGTTTCTTGAATGCATAAGATATTTATTTTCTTATGGACAATAATATATACTAATTTTATTAATTTGCCTGTGAGTGTTTATTTTCAAAATTCTATTCTTGAATGCATAAGATATTTATTTTCTTATGGACAATAATATATACTAATTTTATTAATTTGCCTGTGAGAGTGTTTATATTTCAAAATTCTATCCTAATATTAGTTTCTATGAAATAACTTTATTTTCTTATGGACAATAATATCTACTAGTTCTATCAATTTGCCTGTGAGAGTGTTTATATTTCAAAATTCTATCATAATATTAGTTTCTATGAAATAACCTTTTTTCTTCATCGGTCCATAATGTGGTAACTCTTACTTATTTAACACAAGACCTGAGTGTCGGTGTAATGGCTCTTGCACGTTTTTCACTGTATTCAGGTTATAAAATGCTTTGCTTTCATGGGACACCGTGACATTTATACATTGGAGTCTAAAGGCCTTCATTTGTAGAACTAAAACTGAATACATAGAATGTAATTTTAGTAGTAGTAGCTCTAGTGACAGAAGTGTAACTTTGGATGATCGAATTATTAAAAGGTGTGAACGATTTAGATATCTCAGGTCTGTTATTCAAAGCGATGATGATATTGATGGGGATGTTAATAGTAGAATTCAAGTTGGTTGGTTGAAGTGGAGGAATGCTTCGGGCCTTTTGTGTGATAGAAAAGTACCGCTTAGGCTGAAAGAAAAAATTTATAAGACAGTGGCGAGACCTGCAATGCTCTATGGCGCTGAATGTTGGCCTTTAAAAGAGAAGCATGATACTAAGTTAGGTGTTGTTGAGATGAGAATGATTAGGTGGATGAGTGGCTTTACACTTAGAGACAAAATGCGAAATGGTTATATACGTGATAGGGTTGGTGTAGCTCCTATGACGGACAAAATTAGAGAAAGTCGTCTTAGATGGTTTGGTCACATTAAGACTGACCATTTGATGATCCGATTAGGAGAGTGGATGTTCTAGACATGGTTTGGTCACATTAAGACTGACCATTTGATGATTCGATTAGGAGAGTGGATGTTCTAGACTCGACTTATGTTAAGAAAGACAAAGGTAGACCTAGGAAGACTCGGGCTTATTGTATAAAAAATGATCTTAATTTATTAGAATTAAATGAAAATATGACACTAAATAGGACGCAATGGAGAACAAGGATTCATGTAGCCGACCCCATGTAGTTGGATTAAGGCTTTATTGTTATTGTTGTCATCATTTTTTTGGACAAAATTTACATTGGTTGTCGACTATCGGACACAATCCTCAATTTTTTGTATTTGGTGCTTGGGACCCAGCAATAACAGTGTTTTTAATGTACATCAAAACATAAACAAAACAAAATAATAGCAAAAAATAGAAAAAAAAAACAAAATTGACCCCAAACGACCCCTAAAATTATGAATTCTACTTTGTTTTGGAAATATTATATTAATCCTTTTGCTTGTAAGTTGGGCTATGTTTTCCACTTTGTGACAAATGATTTTGACTGTGTTCATATTAGGAGCCGGTTGGGGTAACTTTTATTTTTTGTTTCTTATTTTTCTTTTTAATTTTATTTTATTTATGTTTTGATTTACATTAAAAATTTATTGGTGGTGACATTTATTTTTATAAGCACTTAAAATACTTACAAATCATTTTAATAATTTTTAAAAGTAAGTTAATTCGCCTTGAAAAACAATATATATCTACATATATGTGTGTGTGTGTGTGTGCTATATATATATACTAAAAATAAAATACAAAATTGATGTCATGCACTCTTCTATTTATTTCCAACGGACATATTTGGTAGCATACTATTGTTACTGAGGAAGCATAAGGTGAATGCATGCACTCTTCTTTTCACTTTATCAGTATCTAACAGTTTCCATAGAAAATGGAGTGCGGTGGAATTACCATGATTTAAATTTGATAGCAGGGTAATTATTTTGAATATTAATACTACCTCTGCTGCTTTTAGTAAGAAATATTGAAGTCCAGCACAAAGGAATTTATAAATTAAATTATTATTCCAACCAATTGAATGACGGCCTCATCTATTTATAGAAATTAGAAATGGAAGCTCGTGGGTAGGAATCTAACATTTATGAATTGGATTGCCTTTTTCTTTGTTGCTGCTTCTTTGCTTAAGTTTTAGTTTCTCGTCTGTCCTAAAATAGCTTAAATTTATTTTCTATACATGTTTATCATGCTCAGGACTTGCGATTTCATTCTGTGCGTAAACTGCAGGTTATAATTGTTTCGTTGACCTGAGAGATGTGGAGATCAATGGTTACAGAAATGCTGAAGAACTCTCACCTATTCGCCCCAGCCTTCCTGATCTTTATAACCAGGATGCTCTTTACATCCTGTCTCAAAAGAATGATTATTACTCGGCGAGTTTTTTTTTCCATTTAAACCATTTATAGTGCTATGTTTTTTTTTTTTCCATTTAAACCACTTATAGTGCTACTGAAAAATGCATTATCTCACTATTGTAGCAATTCTCTTTTTTCTATGCAGCATATGGTGTATCTTCAGCTAAGCGAGCCTAGTGACCGAGATGCTGAGATAATTCGAAGAGCAATGTATGGTTATAGTACAGACCTCATTCTTGTTATGGAAATCGTATGTACTCGATCTTCATTAGAGCTGCTATCAATTAAGCAGGCATATAGGATGACGTATATTTCCTTACTCGAGCATGATTTTGCAACAAGGGCAAATGGTAGCTTGAAAGAGGTAATCATTTTGCTTTGCTTAAAAATCCTCTGAAGACTGCTTTAACACGTCCTAGCTTTCTTGATTTTTTCATATCGGAAAAGAGCAGATTCCATCATTGTTGCAACCATTTTAATTTAAGTGGTATTAAGTGTGGATCATTGGATTTTAGTATCAAATGAGCTACTCAAGCCTCATTAAGGGTCTCTTCTTGGACAGCTTTTTCACTGCTCGGATTTTTAGCCAAACATTTATTTGGCTGTTAGTTTTTTTGATATTTTTTAAAGAATTTTTTGGTAAAAAACTACTTCTAAGAATTAGATCTGATAATGTGCGGTAACTGTAAGGAAGTTATTGGCCAAATTTTTTTTAATAAAAAAGTAAACTGTAATGCCCACTACTTTCATAAAAATTGCTTTCCCAACAGTAATTTTGTAGTCACCTTTATAAGTTGTAGCCACCCAAAATAGAATGTTGAGGATTGGACCTTCTTTGGGGTCCTATTGGTAAAAAGGGAATATTAAAGAAGTTTAGGGGTTTATTTATAAAATATTATAATACCTCCATGTTATGAATGTACAGATTAGATTTTGAGATCAATTTTTACAAATTTGCTATCAGAGCCCTAGTCGCCTGCTACTACTCGAAACTCTCAATTTTCTCTTCCGTCAGTGTCGTGCTCATGTGAACTTCTTGATCCGGTCGAGATAGCGTACAAAGACCTAGATTGATATAAAGAGACCCGAAACTCCCAACTTTCTGCTTCGTGCTTGCAAAGCAGTCGTGTTAGAGCTAACAAAAGAGGCTTCGACAAGGCGGGAGCTGCTTCTGTGGTATGCGCACACAGCTGTGCTTTCGTTGCCTTCTCAACAAGCTGCGACTAGATCACAAGGAGGTAGGGCTAATTGAGCCGCTTAAGTGGTCTGCGTACACAACAATGTTGGTGTTGCCTTCTCAACGAGCCGCGACTATATCACAGGGAGGTAGGATTGGTGTGATGTTACATGTTGCTCGGGAGTGAGGAAGGTAGCGGAGCAGGGCCTGCGTTGCACTGAACGACAAGGAGGTGAAGGATCGAAGCGGCTGTGGTTTTGCATGCGACTTGAGTGATCTAGACTTGGATTCTTGTTGTGGAGGATGTCAGGAGATGTAGATAGTGTTTGATCTAGACTTGGATTCTTGTTGTGGAGGATGTCAAGATATGTAGATAGTGTTGGAGATAAATGATTGAAACTTCTGGGGAAGATAGATCCTGAAATTCTGAAAGTCTTGGTTGGGCTTATAGAAGGAGCTAGTGTCTTGATGGGAACCACTACCTCAACACGTGTTCCGGCACAAGTAAAGCTAGATCTCCCCCTGTGGATCTGAAACTTTATAGAGTGGTCACATGTCTGAGTTGGTCACATCGAATCTAGCCAAAGAGAGACAGTGTTGCGAGGGATGAGTGGAGGACCAGACAAGTTTTGCTTTACACCTGGCTACTCAACTTGATGGCTCCATCTATTGCCTTGTCAGTGAATGACATTCAAAAGGTGAGCGACAACTGTGCGAAGCTGAAGGAGAACTATGCTAGAGCTGAGAATCACATGAGGTTGTTTCAGATTCAGCGTGAGATATAAGCAGTGGTTCAGGGTGATAGATTGATTTAGGAGTACTTCATAGAGCTGGAGTGACTATGGGCAGATCATCATCGCTTCTCACTTATATCAAGCTGTGGTGATCCAAAGTGCAAGAAAGTGGAGCTTTAAACAAATTAGGACTATGTAGTTTCTGGCCCATATAAACTCGACCTTTAATCAGAGAAGATTTTTTCTCCTAGCTCAGACAACTATCCCTTCACTTGATGAGGTCATTGTTGCGGTGATACAGGAAAAGAGTCGCATGAAGCTACATTCTGAGCCAAGTGGACTTCCGAGTGCACGGTCAGCTTTGGTTGTCTCGAGCACTGGTATGATAGATGTTCAAGGGGAGACTCGCAAGTGCTACAACTATGTTGAAGTTGGGCATTTAACAAGTCTTGTCTTAAGCTACTTAAAGAGAGAGAGGTGAACATGGACAGGGGGGAGGCTGTGGTCCTGGTCGTTGTGCTTGAAAAGATGGAAACGAGGGCTACCACCCAAATCTGATGGCAGCTACTTAAAGAGAGAGAGGTGAACATGGACAGGGTGGAGGCTGTGGTCCTGGTCGTTGTGCTTGAAAAAATGGAAACGAGGGCTACCACACAAATCTGATGGTAGCGTAAGAGGGAGAGGCAAGTGTGGTTTTTACCATTGAGGATCATGAGTATCTGGAGTTGTTGAAGGGGTAGCATAAAACACCAGAAGATATGATTGAGGATGCTTCTAACCAGTCATCATCAAAGGGTAATATTGTCACTTATGCTTACTCTGACAATTACACTTGTGATACACAGGCTTATGTCACTATTTCCACCATAGGATCATCAGAATGGATAGTAAATTTTGGTGTATCTTGACATGTAACAGGTATTGCTAGAAAGTTTTCTTCCTTTACTCCATTAGCAGTATCAGAGAGCATCTAGATTGTTGATGATATAACACAACCTGTAGTTGGTAATGATACAGTGAAGAGTACTAATTATATTACTTTGTCCAATATTTTTGCATGCTCCTTTTCCAGTGAACCTTTTATATATTAGTGTCATTATTCTTCAATTAAAATGTGTTGTTTTTTTATATTCGTAAGGTGATCTTTCAAGAGAGAGATGAGCCGAACACTTGGGATTGGAACGTGGGATAGTGAACTCTGATACTTGGACCGGGAAGGGATGGACTCAGCTTTGACATCGACGGTAGAGTGTACTTGAGTAGTAGAATATGGGAGGAGTGTGGAGGATGTGTTGTTGCTTCATCGCAAACGCATGAGATACTCTTGTTCTAGTTTATTGAGTCAGTTGTAGCATTCTTTGTATGAAAATGCAAATAAACAAAAGCTTGTTTGTGTTGCATGTGAGTTTGATAAATTTACTAGGAGCATATTAGTTTTAGGAACAGGAGTTATGGGAGTTTTGACTTGATACATTCTGATGTTTGGAGATCTTGTTCTACAAGTTCTATGAATATTTATCTATATTTTATGACTTTTGTTAATTGTTTTTCTCATGTTACGTGGTTATATTTGATGAAAATAAGGGTGATGTATTTTCTTGCTTTAAAGACTTCCACAAGGCAATCTAAACTCAATATGGTGCAGTGGTGAGGGTATTGAGGTCTGATAATGAGACAGAGTATACCAACAATGCATTTGTGCTATACTTGTTAGCCTATAAGATACAACATCAAACCACATGTCTATACATGACAACATAAAATTGAGTAGCAAAAAGGAAGAATATACATCTTCTAGAGGTAGCCTGAAGCATAATGATCACAATGAATGTCCCAAAAGCACTTACAGGGGCAAACAATTTTGACAATTGCTTAATTGATCAACAGGATGCCCTCAAGGGTGTTGGATTGAAAGTCTCATTGTCAGATGTTGAAAAGAGATAATAGCGGGATCATTTCATTGAAGGTGTTTGGATGTGTATGTTTTCTGAAGGATAATAACCAATTAGTAGGAAAGTTGGATTCTAGAGCTATCAAATGTGTGTTTGTAGGTTATTTGCTACCTAGAAGGGGTATGTCTGCTGGAGCACGATAGAGAAGAGACTATTTGTGAGCATGAATGTGTCATTTAAAGAATTTGAAATGTACTACACCCAAGAGTTGATCTCACCCTTTGATGATTCGTCAGATACTAGAGATATGAGACAAGACAGTGTGAGTAGCAATTGTGAGAGAGTGGTACATGTGGGAGTTTTTTCTTGTCTTATGATGTGTGATGAATCTGTTGAGGAACCAAAAAATGAGGAGAGTGAACCCAAATGTGGTGAGATTCTGGCTGAAGGTGAGCTATGATGTGTGATGAATCTGTTGAGGAACCGAAAAATGAGGATAGTGACCCAAAGGTGGTGAGATTATGGCTGAAGGTGAACTAAGGATGTATACAAGGAGAAGGAAGCAAAATGAGGAAACGGTGCTTGCAGTGCCACTTGTGCTAGCTAGTCCCTTCTCCCGGTCTTTCCTAACTCTTGAGACACATATAGTATTCATCTTTGACTTAGAACTCCCAGGTGATATGATTCCTCTTCCTTCTCCTAACCCCCCAACTTTAAGGAGGATCTCTCGCAGCAATGTGGGACATCCTGCCGATCATTTTGGGTTGGAACATATTATTTATAATTTTGTAACATATTCTAATATATCACCTTTAGATGGAGTATTAACCTTTGGACACTGACTCTATATCCAAGTGTTGGCAGGTTGCTATGGAGGATCCAAGTTGAAAGCAGTTATGCATGAATAGCTTAGGGATCTCGATAAAAATCGAATATGAGAGATAGTGTCACTACCAACGGGGAAAGAAGCAGTTGGATACAAGTAGATCCTCACAATAAAACAAACTCCAGAAGGGAAGGTGGAGAGGTACATAGCACGAGTGGTTGTGAAAATGTATAATTAAACATATGACATTGACAATGATGAAATTTTTGCACCAGTAGCTAAGATGAGCACATTGAGAACATTGTTTTCCCTGACAGTGAATGGTCGGTCGAGATTACACCAACTTGATGTAAAGAATGCATTTCTTCATGATGAGTTACTGGAAGAGGTATATATGGAGATTCCACTAGATTCCGGTACAGTCTATATAGTGGGCAAGGTGTGTAGGCCTATGAGGTCATTGTATGGCTTGAAGCAGTCTTCTCGAATTTGGTTTAACAAGTTTAGAAAGACTTTGATGGACATGGGATATCAGTAGATCAATGCAGACTATACGGTATTCTTTTAACAACATGAATGTCACACCATTATATTAGTTGTGTATGTTGATGTCATCATTGTCACCGGTTATGGTAATACAAAGAATGCGTAACTTATGATAAGATTAGAAATGAATTTGAAGTAAAGGATCTTGGGCATCTTAGATACTTTTTTGGGATTGAAGTGACCCGTGGACAAGGGGATGGTCTTATCCCAAAGAAAGTATGTATTTTATTCTCATGAAAATAGGTATGTTGTGGTGCAAACTTGTAGTCTCTCTAATTGACCAGAAGGACAAGTTGAGTGCAGAGGTAGGGGAACCAGTTGATTGTGAGAGATACGAGAGATTGGTGAGCCGTATGATTTGTCTGTTTCACACTCGACACGACATCACTTTTGTAGTGAGCGTTGTGAGTAGCTCCATGCATGATCCATGGAAGAGCCATATGAATATGGAAATCAGATTCTGAGGTGTCAAAGTTTTAAGAAAAATAGGTTGAATACTGAATAGACTCGATTCTGAATCGGCTCCATCCTTTTCCCTTTGCTTTCATTCCATTAAATAATAATCTTACAATCTATTTTAGGTACAAAATAAAGTGCATAATCTATTTTAGGTAACTTAATAATACATATTTATAATCTAAATATTCAGCTAGAAGAGAAATAAATCATAATAAAGATATTGGAAATAAGGAAGTTTCTAATTATAGAAAACTCTTAATTTAGCTGACTGATTTCTATTCTTCCTGATTGACATCTCCTCTCAAATTGATGCTGACTGATCAGGAAGCATCAATTTGTCAATAAGAAGCTGATAACATTGTAGAAACTGAAAAAATTGTCGCGACAAAAAATCCTCAAGTTGTCGAAACCGAGAGTGCCGAAACTGAGTGCCGAAGCCGGAGAGTACTGAAGCCTGAGAGTGCCGAAGCCGGAGAGTACTGTAGCCTGAGAGTGCCGAAGGCCAAGAGGCCAAAACCTGAGAGTACCGAAACCTGAGAGTACCGAAGCTCGATAGACCGAAGTGGACGAATAATAATACAAACATAACAACCCCATTCCTGAAACCCCATATCCCGTCGGAGCATAACCATATCCCACCGGCATCGCCGGAGTCCCGCATCCATATGGTTGTGGCGCAGCGTAATATCCCGCCAGCGGGTATGCAATCATCGGTTCCTGATCCAGCTTCGCCGCTGCGGAGAGCGGGCGACAGACCTTGTAGCTAACAAAGCGAGTATCGCCAGGAGTGGCGATAATGTCGCGCACGGGAATTTGAACGAAGCCGACATCGCGGTCTTCGAGTATGCGATCAGCGCGGGGTAGGATGCAGAGCAGGTGGTGGATTGCTTGTGGGGATGAAGTGGATCGTAGCGTTCCAAACATGGTTCCGTCCACAATCGCAATCGGGGGCGATGCGCTGCCGAAAGCGCGGGTCGTCGTAGGATATGGTGAGGATGGCGTAGACGCGCATTTGGGTGAAGAGGTTGACATTTTTCAAGTCTTTTGTGGAGATCAGGGTGAGATCTAGCGTGCAGTATGCCATCTCCCTTCCTCCCTTCCTCCCTTCCCGTCTCTCAAGAAGGTTGGCGGGAAGAGAGTCTTTGATAGTCCTCCAAAGGATTATCCGTGATTAGGGCAAAAATTTTGCTCTGATATCATGTCAAAGTTTTGAGAAAAATAACATGAATACTGAGCAGGCTCGATTCCGAATCGACTCCATCTTTTTTCTTTGCTTTCATTCCATTAAATAATAATCTTACAATCTATTTTAGGTACAAAATAAATTGCATAATCTATTTTAGGTAACTTAATAATACATATTTCTATTCTAACTTAAAGATATCGAAAATAATGAAGCTTCTAATTATTGAAAACTCTTAATTTAGCTGCTTGATTTTCATTCTTCCTAATTGACATGAGGTACCTGAATAATACACCATGGAAGAGGTTGATCTGCCGAAAGAATGGGCATATAGACATTGAGGGCTTTTGTATGTTGATTGGGCAACGTGTGCAAATGATAAAAGATCTTTCTCAGGATACTGCATGTTTATAGGGGCAACTTGGTCTTTTAGAAGTACAAGAACCAGTCTGTAGTAGTGTGATTAACGACAGAGTCAGAGTACAGGGTCATGACCTTAGGAGTTGCAGAGATGATGTGGCTGAGAGCCTTGTTGGTCAAGCTTAAGGTGGACTAATGAACTAAAATGAAATTGTGGTGCGACAACAAATCAGCAATCAACATTGACAACAATCTGGTGCAACATGATAGAACAAAACATGTGGAGATTGATAGATTCTTCATCAAGGAAAAGCTGAATAATGGGTTACTAGAGCTAAGTCATGCTGCCACTGGAGAGCAAGTGGGTGACTGCCTCACTAAAGAACTTAGTTCATTAGATTTGTCTAGGTTATGTGACAAGATGGGCTTAGTGGATATCTTTTGCCCATCTCGAGGAGGAGTGTTGAGAATTGGACCTTAATTAGGATCCTATTGGTAAAAAGGGAGTATTAAAGAAGTCTAGGGGTTTATTTGTAAAATATTGTAATACCTTATTTAAGCCCATGCCATGAATGTTCATATCAGATTTTGAGAGCAATTTTTTCAATTCTGACTTTAAAACTTATCATGTCCTTGGACAAGCCCGGTTTATGGTGGTTTTGGTCCCACTGGATTTAATAATGCATGTCTTCCGTAAAAAAACTGTGGTATGGGTTAATTGTTGGATCCTGTTAGTTATGATTGTTGGATTGGACTGATAAGAACGATCAAAATTAAGAACTCATATGATTTATTAATCAAGTTGATATTAAATCAGATTTGATTGCAATAGATTTCCAGTTAAATAGACTTGTTCAGGTTATTTATTGGTGTTTGATTGTAGTCACTGGTAGCTGGGGATGAAAAATGACAATGGTGGCCAATGATTGTTGATGGTGTTAGGTAGTGGTTGGTGGGAAATGATCAATGATGGTGATTGTGCGCAATGATAGTGGTCATCGGCTGGCTATAGTGACTGACAATTGGCAATGGCGAGCGATAGATAGCGCCAACTAGTTTTGTGCTTTCAAAAGATGTCAAAGTTTATATGCCACCCTTGAAGGGTTGCTTAAGTAACGGGTACAGACCAATCACTAGCTAATAATATGGGCATCTATTTTAATCTCATTTATTAGAGCAAGTCCATGAAACTAATTTTTTTCAGGGCTGCTTAAGTAATGGGTGAAGATCAACAAATAGCTTGTCTATAATATTTGATTATTAAATGTATGAGCTACTAGTTATTATGTTAAGTATGGACCACGAAGTTGGGGTAGATTTTAGTGTTATGATCTATTTCAAACTCAAAGTTAAAGCTTGCAGGTGATGCAAAATTAATATATCTACATCAAATTTAAATATTCAATTTGGCCTTAAAGATATAAGCCTGAGAAGCCAAACTATTGCATGCTTAGCATATCTCTTTTGCATGTGCAAGCTCCCTTGAATCTAGCTTTTTTGGTAAAGCAAAGGTCCATGCAGCAAAGAAGCCAAGAAGGTGCCCACTCCAGTTGCCTTCATTCTGAATCATGAATATTTTTCAGCTATTTGATTTTGAGATTTAATTTAATACAAACATACTTTGCCCTGAAGAAACTTGATTGTTTCCTACTTATTGACACATGTTAATATTTATAAAACCTATTGAGGCATGGTGAACGTCTTGGATTTAATTTTACATTTGATAGTTAAAAAATATGTTGGTATAGAAATATCAAGTGAATTGGCCCTCTAAATTTAACTTCTTAAATTGAAATCACTTTTAACAACTGGTGCATCATGTCTGAATTTAGTATCCCTTTAAATTGCACTAACAAATGTTATTAGAATCAATGATTCAATTATAATTAAGCTGTTATTGCAGTTTGTGGCTAAACAGCTCTTGGTTGCCTTTTATCATAATTGAGCAAAGTTTAGAAGAATGAACTCTTATGAATGATGCATGCTGTTGTGGGGCCTTTTGGTGTATGATACTTGATGACTTTGTGTTTAAGAGGAATATATCGCTGATAGAAAAAACTCTCTTGTGAGTGATGGATTATTAAAGCACGTGAAAGTCAATCTTAATTTAAATAATTAAAAAATATGTTATTATAATGATACCAAGTAGTTAATCATGATCAACACTCTCAAACTTTTAAGCTGAAAATAAACTTGATTGTCATTGTATTAGCCCTATAGTTAGTCCCACTTTTGTTCACACTCCCTAACAAAAAAGAAAAATAAATAAATAAAGAATTTGATTTTCTTATTGCATATATCTAAAATCATTATTTCGTAAACATTAGTTTGAAGATTTATACATGGGGACATAACATGAGTGTTGTTATATGCCTATTTGCGATCAAACATATTTGAAAACAGTGAAAAACTGTTGAATTTCTCAGATTCTTTCAGCCATCCTGAATTCAAGAATTTATGCTGGAGAAAGGTTCGATACACGTAGGGCTATGTGTGATGCAAAGATTCTCTATGAAGCAGTCACAAGTTGTAAATTCATTGATCAGAAATCCATCATCTCTATCTTGAGTAAGAGGAACGTTGACGAGATGAGAGTAATACTTTCCTCATTCAAGCACCTATTCGGCCAGGAATTCATTAAGTTCCTGAAGAATAATTACAAATGCGATGAATTTGGAATCCAACTCCGAGCTGTAATCCGTTGCATTCAGTCCCCAGAGAAGCATTTCGCCAAGCAGCTACGCACGGCCATGGAGACTGGGGATGCCCCGGAAGTGCTTATCAGAACGGTGGTTACACGCACTGGAATCGACATTAAAGAAATTGATGGTGCTTTTTCTGTGAAGACTGGAATGTCGCTAGAGAGTCTTATAAAGAAAGAGTTTAACTGCAGTTATGAGAGTTCACTAGGGTGGGTTTGCGATGGACTTATTTCACTGCTGAAGAATTCAAAAAGGAAAACTGTTGCTGTTACCATTCTGGGGTTTCATGAGACATAGAATTGCAATAAAAATATAAAATAAAGTATACATTATGATTTATGATTTGTTTCAATTAGAATTATATTTTTTAGAAATATTTAAACAAATATGTGATGTTTATTTCTTGATTTATTTGCGTGAATTGTTGTGTATCATGCAGAGTCTTATCACTATTTAGTTTTTCAGATTGTGGGTACCCTCTCATTTGGCTTTTTTTTTTTGTGTTGCTTTTCAGAAATCTTTATTGTGGGAAGCTATTTCTTGTGATCAAATTTGCTATAGGAAAATTATTTTATTTTTTTAAATAAAATATTTTTATTATACACAATAACATTTAAAAAGTTGTTTTTCCACCATAGTGTTACCATCATATCGGCAAATGCTCCCCACCTTCCACCATAGTGTTACCATCATATCGGCAAATGCTACATCAGCCCCTCCCCACCTGACCATATTATCCCCAATGAAGTTGCCCTCCAAACTGCTCTTGCTTGTACTCGTGACCAATTGATGAACTTTGTCACCAATACCTCTTTAGCTATTTCATCTATGCCATCCATATCAAAAGCGGGCAGGGGGCGGGGGTGGGGAGGCGGCGGGGTGCCTCCATGACACAAACACGTGCCCTTTACCAACATTGCTGCATGAAATATATGTGCTTTGCAAAGTAATATATATACCATTCACTGCAATAATTGGGGGAAAAATCATAGTATTGGTCTTGTGTGTTTTTTTTTGAGACAAAACTCTCAATATTCTCAATTTCTAACCCTTTCATCAATTGGCATTTTAGTATCTTCCCTCATAAATAAAGCCACAATAATTTTCACTCATTATCCAATGGCCATATTTGAATTGAATGGAATGCTAAAAATATCTCTTTTTTTTCCTTTAGAGACTCACTTTTACTACAGTCATGACTTGTTCGTTTTCTCCTTCATCAAGTTCGTTTGTCTCATCTGCTACGTTGATAACAATAATGGCAAGAGGAAAGCCCTATGATAATCGATTACTTTGACACTTATATTAATGAACCATGACTTATTTTGAGGGACTTCAACTGTATTTGCTTAGTAGATAAAAAATCTACTGGCATGCCCTCTCTTTCCTACAAGCTATTGGACTTCAAACTCTCGTATCTTTGATTATGTGCCTTCAGATCTTCCCAATACTAGTATCACATTTAGTTGGTTCAATTAGCAACTTTTAAACCCATGAGATGTTTGTTGGATCGAGCCTTTTGTAATGATCATTGGATGCACACATATCCTCTATTTTAGTACAGAGTTATGGAACCACTCACTTCATCACCCTTTCTTCTTAATTTTGCTTGGAAATAATATCAAACTCAATTGTAGATTTATTATTAGAATATTAATGGCTATTACTAACCGTTATTAATTCATGTTATTATTCTGAGTTATTATTGCTTTCTTTTTTTTCTACTATATCCTTTTGTCGTTGGGCCTCTCCTTGTTGTCGGCTGACCCTTCTAGGTGTCGTTCCTCCCTCAAGCAGACCGGTTCTCCAATTTTCACCCTCTCGAGCCCAGTCCAGCCACCTAAGTCTTTTTCCAAGTTTAGGGTCACCCTCCGACCGGCTGGGTGCCCCTCCAAAACTTCTGCCATGACCGCCAGGCCAACCTCCCAGCTGCTGGAGTCCCCTTCTAACAGCCTAGTCTCCCTCCAGGTTCACCGGAGCTCCTTCTGTCTCCCATTCCAGCTGGCCCGATATCCTTTCCAGTTGGTCAGAGACTTGTTCTAGTTGGCCAGGATTCCTTCTGAATCGTCGTACTATTAGTCTGACAGTGGGGACTCTCTCCAGGACAGTTGGAACCCCTTCTTGAGGTTGTATCTCTCCCATCCAACGACTGGAATCTTCTGATGTCTGAATAACCCAACATCTCCTTTAGCTTAATCAGAATCATGACGGACTCCTCCCACAGTACTATTAGTCTGACAGTGGGGACTCTCTCCAGGACGGTTGGAACCCCTTCTTGAGGCTGTATCTCTCCCATCCAACGACTGGAATCTTCCGATGTCTGAACAACCCAACATCTCCTTTAGCTTAATCAGAATAATGACGGACTCCTCCCACACTGAGCCACCATCAGAAGGTGTTCTTGACTCTACGGGAAGATCGACTCCAACTTCCAACTTTCATCCCTCTACAGATCAGAGGACCGGAAAACAACACGAATTTCTTGATCCCATAAACTTTCTCTAATGGTCCCAAGCTGTATCATTGTTCATCAAAGAGCGTCGGAAATTCAGTCTCCTCACTGGTATGATTCTTGAACCTCCAAAAATTGACCCTACATATGGAGCTTGGAAAGTGGAGAATTTCATGGTCATCTCGTGTCTGATTAACTCAATGGAGACTTCCATTGACCGATCACATATGTTCCTTCCATACACTAGTGCCCTCTAGACGACATTCCGTGATACCTACTCCTATGTAGAGAATTCCAGTCAACTTTATGAGTGTCTAAGAAAATATGAGGGGCAAAACAGGAATCAATGACCGTGACCCTATAGTAGAATGGCCTGGTTGCATTATGGATGGAGTCCAATATCTCTGTCGAAGTGTAACCATTTGTCCATCAGTAAGTTGAAGGGGCAAAACAGGAATCAATGACCGTGACCCTATAGTAGAATGGTCTGGTTGCATTATGGATGGAGTCCAATGTCTCTGTCGAAGTGTAACCATTTGTCTATCAGTAAGTTGACTTATGACATTGATTGTGTTGCTCATTTTTCTCCTGATGTTTGTGTCGTTCAGGACAGTTGTTTGAGGAAGATGATTAGAACTGCTAAGCGAGTAGCTGAGTTTTACTTCTTCCAAGAGAAGCACGAAAAACGACGACATTTCACCCAGTAGTTGCAGCTTATTCAATCCACTGAATGTCTTATTATGTTGCACTATCGTTTGGGTCATCCTAATATACACTTTTTAAAACAATTGTATCGTTAATTTTTACTAATAAAAATCCTTCTAATTTGAAATGTGAGACCTGTCAGTTAGCTAAATTTCATCATCTTTTGTATGCACCCCACACTTACACGTCTTTCGCTCTTTTTTCACTTATTCACAGTGACTTATGGTGACCCTCTCGCACTCTCTTCTACACTAATAAATGGTGGTTCCTTAATTTGATTGATGAACATACTGGGATGACATGATTATATATTTAAACGACAAATATAAAGCTGCAATCATCTTCAAAAACTTTCACACCTTCATTTTAACCCAATTCAAAACTTCGATTCAAGTTCTTCAGAACAACTATGGTCGTTAATTTCTTAACTCTGTATTAGATGAATTCTTGGTAAGTAATGACATCCTCCACCATAGCTCGTGCACGGACACTCATCAAATCGAGTGAAAAAATCGACATCTCTTCGATGTTTTCTGTTTCAATCTAATGTCCTAAAATGTTTTTGGAATGATGTCATACTTACCGCCACATATCTCATCAATAGGGTTCCCTAAAAAATTCACAACTTCTAAACCCTTTTAGCCACCTTGAGGTCGTGCTTGATGCTTCATATTGCACAAACTTATATTTTAGGGAGGCAGTTCGTCTTCATGGCATACTCACGAGCATTACCTCAGATAGGGATGTGAAATTTCTCAACCAATTTTGAAGGACTTGGTAGGGTAAGTTAGGTATGAAGCTTCAGTTCAGTTCAGCGACTCACCCTCAGACAAATGGGTAAACCGACGTTGTAAACTGCAGTTTGGGAAACCTTCTTAGATGCTTGGTGGGAAGAACATTAAGCGGTGAAATTTGGCTATGTTTCTTGTGGAGTTTGCCTGTAATCGTTATACTAGTCAGTCCGCAAGTCACAACCGATTTGAGATTGTGTATGAGCAGAATCCTCTTACACCTTTATTGTTGGTCTCTATACCGCTCACTATTGAGCTTAGCGCCAATGCTCAGATTTTAGTCAAAGATATTTAGATCCAACATGAGTAGATCATGAAGAAAATTGCTAAGCAAAACACTTAGTACCAGAAATACGACAAGTCCAAGAAAGCTATGGTTTTCAAGGAAGGCGACATGGTATGGATCACGTTGAAGAATGAGCGACTTTTTTGTAAGTTCATTTGGGAAGCGCTAGCCTGGAGCTGACGGTCATTTAACTAAGAAGATTAGCGGCAACGCCAATAAGACTGACCTTTCGGGGTATTACAATATTTATGCAACTTTTAATGTCCTTGATTTGGTGTTTTACTCCGAGGGTCTGAGTATTGTCGGAGACGAGGACGAAGCCCCTCCTACCTGGGGACAATGATGCGAAACACGGGCCTTTCCATAGTACAAAGATTTCGCAGTATCTAACTTGAATGGTCGCGAGAGTATGGACCGAGCTGAAAAATTTTTTTTTTTCTATCTTTATTTTTTGCAAGTTTCCTTCTTTTGTTTCCTTCCTTTTTTATTCTTGTCTAATTCTCTATTTTCTAATTAGGTTCTTTTTTATTAGGGATATATATATATATTATTATTATATAAATAATATATGTAATATATTATTATATAAATAATTATATATATATATGTATATATATATTATTCTACTCTGTTTTTAACAGGAAACTGTCACATGCTATTTTCAGCATGGAATTGCACTTTTCTGCACTCGTTTGTCGTTGTCCTAACTGCCGTTTGTGCCCATTACCAGCCTCCTTCCATCTTTCATCCTCCCACACCCGGTTTCAATCCTACAACCTCTCCAACACCTTTTCTATCTTATCAAACCCTCCAGAGGCTCTAGGATGGTGTCAGTTTTATAGCTCGATTCATTAGAACTTTTATTATGGATGCTCTTTTATTCTGTTCTCTGAGTTTTTTCGAAGCAATGATGAATTTCAGCCTATTAAAATGAGACTCACTGATTCTTATCATTTTTTCCTATTCTGAGATTTGCTCTTCAGCAACTATTTTCCACTTTAATCCATTTGGATAGTAGAATGGACGTTTTCTACAGCATGATAATTTAAATTTTTTTATTTTGGATGTTTTTAGTATTATTTCTACTGCTTTTTTTA